AGAATTGGATGATGTTAGGGTTCAGGCGTAGTTTTTGACTATTTCCCATTAAAGTGACATAAGTTTGATTATTAGCAAAAAGTGAGGGGTAGGTTCTGAAAATCTCCTGAAGAGAAATCAATCTGGTAGAGGAAAGGTTAGACAGGAGACAAGAAAAGAAATAAAGTAAAAGTAAAAGTAAAAGTTGATTGTTTTTGTTTTCTAACTTTGGGTCCCCTACTTATCCAAAGCCTTTTAAGTTCGAGGGCTGTGAATTGTTTATTGGTTCATGTTATCATAGTACTACTTGATTATGATATTAACAATCTAGTTATAATATTGAATATTATGAAACATCTATGTTATGTTACATATAAAGATTATCTTAGTTTCTAATTGGTAGAATTTTTACCAACTTATATGAAACTAACATCTATCCATAAGAAAGAGGGTAATTATTTTATTCTATTAATATTAATTATATTATAGTTTTTGCCTTACTATGAGAGGATTATGAAGAATCCACCTCTAAAGCATCTCCTCAATCGGTAAACATGGAGTAACTTGAACGTATCTAAATAGTAAAAGCATCTTCAAATGACTCTTTATATGACTTAAATTCTTTATCTTTAAAATATAAATTAAAGAGTGAGTTTGACTCTCTACGTCTAGAGAGTCAAATTTCACTCTCTATTATAATTTTAATTAATAAACTACAATTTTCTATGCATTTTATTTATTATTTTTCTCTCCCATTAAGTCTATTTCTTGAAAATAAAGAGTATCTTCATTAAATTTAAAGAGTCTATTGGATTTAAATAAAAATTGTGTTCTTTATATTTAAAAATTAATGAAAATACTATTTATTTATAAGAAAGATACCCTTCAAAATAAAGAGCACCATTGGAGATGTTCTAAGAGTATTTGAAAGTGAGAGTTCTCGTATTTTGACTTTCTCACAATCTCTTTTATCGCTACGAATATTCCATTCCTATAGGAGTGAAGAAGTTTGATAATGACAAATAAAAGATACTAGTATGTAGTAGTTATTGAAATTAAAGTAATAAAATCCTAATAAATTAGGAGTAATCATCCTTAGGTCTTAGTAACTATCGATAATATGACTATGAACATTTCAAAATTGAGTAATACTATACATACAACATTTCTCATTGAACATTGTATAGCAAAATATGATTGACTGATTTTAAATTAAAATTAAACTTTCACCCAATCATCTTTTGCCATATAACGTTGTATGTGTAGAATTATTCTTCAAAACTATTGTTGTGTGTGATTTTTCCACCAAGCTCACTCTACCGCGAGGATGTAGCTCGACCTAGGGTCAGTCCGACTCTACCGGTTGTCCGACCTAGCATAAGCTTATCAACATATAGCTCGTCCTAGCACAAGCTAGTTGCGAACAACCTGAATGATTATTCAATCAATTCCCAAATAACTTCAGATCTCAGATATTGTTGGAATGACTAGATCAACATCAATCTCTACGCAATCAAAACACCCAATCGCGAGAATATCGGAATTGCAGTTCAGATAAATTGTAATCCCTTTATTTTCACTATTTCCTTTGTACAAACCTTGTATATAAACCCCCTCAAATGATGAAAAATGAGTTACGCCATTCCCATCGAATTCTCATTGTAAGCTCTCATAGCAAATGTAAAAAACAGTGGACGTAGGCTCAAGAGTTTACCTCGCTGAACCACTTTAAAAATTTTCATTGCCATTTACTTTATTGCATTCAATACTTGCTTATCACTGATTATCCGTAATCACGCACACATTTATTTTAGTCCCACCAAGGTCGATCGGAATTCACTAGTTGGTGTATATTTCTGTATCAACAATTATATTGGTTAAAAACATAATATTTAATTTTTCTAGTATGTTTGGATTCCCTTTCATTTAATACAACTTTTCATCGAAAAATTATTGGATATAAAGTTAGTAATATTGTCTATATTATCTTATAATATATGTCGTATGATTAACGATGACATAAGGATTTCAAATTTATTGGAGTTATATTGGCACTTTATTTAAGTTAATTATATTTTAATTTAACTTTTTTATTGGTCGTGCGTCATGCCCTTCCATCAACTAAAAACACTATTATAAAAAATATGGGTTAAAGTATAGACCCTTAAAGTATGATATAATAGCAAAAAAAAATTTAGTTTGGCTCACATTTGGGAATACTATTATTAATATTCCCAATAAAGTTAAACAGTAAAATTGCAAAAACTCACAATATTATTCAACTTTTTGTAAACCCTTTAAATTTGTTAATTTAATTAAATACCCATAAATATTTTTTTAGAAATTACAAAAAAACCTCAGCAACCTACATTTACTAGATTCCGGCCACCATCGTCGGACGATGGCCAGAATCTGGTATAATGGCGCACTACCGGCTGAATCTGGCGGGTAATGTGCCGATCTAGCCTTTTTCAGCCAGATCCACCGTGGATCTGGTCGGAAAAGGCCATATCGGCGCACGACCGGCAAGATCCAGTCGGTCATGCGCTGATACGACGACTCCAGCCACCCTCCGGCGGTGGTGGTCGACTGTCCATATTTAATGGGTGGGTTGGGGGTGTTTTTATTAACTTTTAATGTTTTATTATAGGGGTGTTTAGTAAATAAACAAACATAAGGGGGTGTTTAGAAACAAACAAACATAGGGGATATTTTTATTTATTTCCAAATCATACATCGTAATGCCTGCCCAATTCAATTTTTTTTAACTTTTTTTCCAAAAACTTTTCTAAAAAGTGTAAAAAAGTAAACCAAACGAAGCCTAACTAAAATTATAAATATACCCCTACCGATAAAAATTGTTTGTGAATAATTAACATTTACATTGGTATAGGGCCGTTTAGATCGTGAGTATATAAGATAATGGGGGTAATCTTCGTTCATTTTGCAACATTCCGATGTTTGGTTTGCAAGTAATAAAATATTACGGTAATCTTTTATTGCAAATAGTGTTTACTGTTGGTAATATGGAGGGTAATTTATTACCTTGCTGGGGTGTGTTATTAAAATATTATCGAGGTAATCTGATTTTTCTACCCATTTTGCCCTTAATTAAAAACCATTTCGAACATAATTTTCCTCAAATGTCTACCAAATAATAATTATCCAGCCCCGTTACATTTGAGAAACTAGCTAAAACACCTCAGCCACAAAAAAGTTTAAAAGTTAACAAAATACCCCCAGCCACTTAAGACCACCGTCGGCCGTGACTCATCACCGCTGGTCGTCGGCGTCAGTTACTGTGATGGTGCACAACTAGCGGGATCTGGCCGGTAAGGCCTTTTCCGTCCATGGATCTATGATCTATGGCTGGAAACGGCTAGATTTGACGTTTCTATGGCCGTTTCACGATCACATTTTTGGCCGTGAAATGGCCATAGATCTGGCTATTTTCCAACCATGGATTTGTGATCCATGACCATTTCCGGCTTTGCTGACGCACGACCGGTCATATATGGCTAGTTGTGTGCTATTTTGAAGAATGCCAGTGACAGCCTACGGTGGTGGCTGGCTGCCGGCAGTGGCTTGAGGTGGGTGGGGGTGATTTTGCTATAAATTAAAGTTTTATATGGTTGAGGTGTTTCAGCAAAATTTCAAATGTAGGAAGTTAAAAGAAATTATTCAAAAAATAATAATAAAAATATTAATATTTAAAAAAGAGGGTAATTTAGTAATTTACATAACATACCCACTAATTTATCCTCTCAATCAAACATATTATTCATTAATTTATTCGAACTAACCAAACACATTTTCTAAATATTCACAATAATCTTCAAAATAATTTTTCTTTCCATTAATATAATATTCTTTTATAATAAAATATTATATAATTCAAACGCTCTCTATATGTTAATAAATATTACCAAATTTCCCTGTTATTGTTTATTTTAACACTTAGAACTAAACGGTAGGAAAATTTCTGTTATTTTTAAAACTTCAAGGAAAAATTTCATTTTATCTTATCTTAGAGGGATTAATGTCACTAACCCAAAGATTATCATTATTTAACTAACATTTTCTAAGAAGAGTTACTATTAATTAGATGACACTTTTTTTAAAAACAACAGAAACAAGGACGTGAATTTTGTTTCTATTAGGAAACAGATGCATTTATTGATAAAAAGTATAAAAAATAATAATTGTCGGTTTATTGATAGAAAAGCATCCGTTGATTGATAAAAATGATATTTGTGTTTTTGTCCTCTAGGTTTTTTTTTTTTTTTTTTTTTAATTTTCCTCCAATTAGTAATAACCCTTTTTAAAATTCAAAGAAAAAGTATGTAAAATATTATAAGAACAGCTGCAAATGCAAATGACTCTTTATATGACTCAAAATTTTTTATTATAAAAAATCTATTCACAAAAATAAGAGTCCAACAAACTTTTATCTTTTAAATATAAATTAAAGAGTGGATTTGACTCTCCACATCTAGAGAGTCAAATCTTACTCTCTATCATAATTTTCATAAATAAACTATAAGTTTTTACGTATTTTATTTATTAATTCTTTCTCTTATTAAGTCTTTTTCTCGAAAATAAAAAACATTTTCATTAAATTTAAAGAGTTTATTGGATTTGAATAAAATTTTATTTTTTATATTTAGAATTGAATGAAAATACTCTTTGTTTATATGAAAAATTACCCTTTAAAGTAAATAGTACATTGAGATGCTCTAACATATGTAAACTTGAAATATCAAATTTGTATCCCATTTTATTTGACACTTGATTTAATAGTATCTTCTTAACTGAAATACATAAACACCCTTACATTAAATTGTACTGTTGTGAGAAGACATAAAAGCTCTTATATAACTTAAATACAAAAAAATTAAAAAAGTATATATAAACTTTAAAATTACTTACATATCCTTATAAAGGTGAACATAATAACCAGGATGATTGATAACTTTATAAATGTTCATTAATTGAGAGGCCTCTATGACTATAAACTTGCACAAAATTCAACTCATGAGGTGAAACGGTGCGCATTGAGTTAAAGCGATGAGCAGCATAGGAGGGAGTGGAGTTCTGGGAGGAGGAGCTTCAACTTCATCATGGGTCTCTACGACGTCCGTTTCCGCTTCAGGGAAGAGAATTCAGAGAGAAATGGCGGAGCTCAACTTGGACCCACCTCCAGATTGCTCTGCTGGACCCAAAAGTGACAATCTTTACAACTGGGTCTCCACCATTATAGGCCCTACTGGTCTCTTTTCTCTCTTTACTCTTTCTTTCATCTCTTTTCAGTAGTGGGTTCTTCACTTTCTTGTTTTTGGTGCTCAAAGTTTTCATCTTTTTTGGGTTTGTTTGAATTACTGTTAGTTTAAGTCTTGTAGTTTTAAGTTGGAAGATTAAATGGTCTCATTTCTCACTTAACAGTTTGTTTGATCATTTTCTTGTAATGGGTTGTTTAGTTTGTTGTGTTTTATGCTCAAAGTTTTGTCTTTTGTGTGTTTTGTTTGATTCATTATTAGTTTTAAGTTGGAAGATTAAATGCTCCAACTTCTCTTAACACTTAGTTTGATCATTTTTTAGTAATGAGTTGTTTAATTTTTTGAGTTTTATGCTCAAAGTTTTGATATTTATTGGGTCCTGATGGTATTATTTCAGTCTTGTGTTTTAAGTTGGAAGATAAAGTGGTCTCATTTCTCTCTTAACAATTAGTTTGATCATTTCTTAATAATGGGTTGTTTAATTTCTTGAGTTTTATGCTCAAAGTTTTGATATTTATTGGGTCCTGTTTGATGGTATTATTTCAGTCTTGTGTTTTAAGTTGGAAGATAAAGTGGTCTCATTTCTCTCTTAACAATTAGTTTGATCATTTCTTAATAATGGGTTGTTTAATTTCTTGAGTTTTATGCTCAAAGTTTTGATCTTTATTGGGTCCAGTTTCATTCAGTGCTAGTTCAGTCTTCTGGTTTTGAGTAGGAAGAATAAATGTCTCACTTCTCTCTTTACCACTCTTCTTTCACCTTTCATCTTTTTTCAGTATTGGTCTCACTTTACTCTTTCTTTCATTACACCAGTGGGTTCTTCACTTTCTTGTTTTTTGTGTTTTATCTTTTCATCTCTTTTGGATTTTGTTTGATTTGGGATTAATTGAGTCTTGTAGTTTTAAGGGGGAAGAATAAAGGGGTAGAATAAGTGGTCTAACTTCTCTTTTAATACTTTGATTGACCCTGTTTCCTGATGGATTTGTTCAGTTTCTTGGGTTGTAAGCTCAAAGTTTTGATCTTCCTTGGGTCCAGTTTGATTCAGCACTAGTTCACTCTTGTGGTTTTTAGTAGGAAGAATTAATGCTCTGACTTAAGGAGTATCACTATCAGTCCGTGGCATGTGTGCTACATCCTCTCTCTTTTTTCAGTAATGCACTTACTTTACTCTTTTCTTTCATCATTTTCAGTAGTGCATCTTCAATTTCTTTTTCTTTTTTTGCGCTAAAATTTTTCATTTTGTTTGATTCAGCGTTAGTTCAATCATGTAGTTTTAATTGGGAAGAATAAGTGGTCTCACTTTTCTCTTAACACTTTGTTTGATCATTTTCAAGTAATGGGTTGTTTAGTTTTTTGTGTTTTATGCTCAAACTTTTATATTTATTTGGTCCAGTACTAGTTCATTCTTGTAGTTCTGAGTAGGAAGAATATGTGTTTTGTTGTGCTTTTATGTTTATGTTATGAACTTTTTAAGTAATGGGCTGTTGAGTTTATCGTTTTTGATTCTCCAAGTTTTGATCATTTCTGGGTTTTGTTTGTATCAGTATCAGTTTAATCTTGTATTTGTGGGTCAAAGATATAAGCTTGAAGTTTGTTCAGTTAGTGATTTGGTAATTTGAAGTTCCTGCTTTGCTTAATTTTTTTAGCATGAGGTATAATCTCTTACAAAAGAATTTAACCCCCATAAGCACTTCCACACCTCTGATCTTCATGCTTTGTTAAACAGGCTAGCCATCTATTCATCTTCGGATTATACACAACCTGTCACACATAAAACCATTAGAAACATATAACAAGTTCATTACATAAATATAAAAGCACAACACAACACATACAACTAGTCACACATAGCTAATAACTACTCCATTTCTCTCATTTACATACCTCCTTATTTTATATGATGAGAGAATGGAACACACTAGTCATTGACTGATAGTGGTAATCTTAAAAATGAACACTTTTTTATTGTTTGATCTTGTGTCTTGAGGGATGTGCATCATCTGTAGCCAAGCACAACTTCTTCTCTTTCTCCTTTGGCTGCTCGTGTTGGAAATTGTTCTTGCTCTTGCTCGTGTTGATCAATTCTTCGTGCCCTTGTTCTTTCTGTGGATTCTTGATTCTGATCATGTGTTGATAACGGCACTTGGCAGAGTTACCAGCGAACCTTTTGTTCCTCCTAACAAGTGGAGAAGATGGAGATAAAACTCCTTTGGGCTATGTTGTTTTGAAAATTAGACCAAGGGACTATTTATCAACAACTAAGTGTTGTGAATCTGTAGGACGATCAAGGGATCGAAGAATTGCTCACGTGAGCTACTTGGAGGAGTGCAGCAGCGTTGCCATCAAGCTCCCGTTCCTCCTCCTAATAGGTGGAAAAGATGGAGATGAACTTGTGGAGACAAATTCAGGCTGGTTGGGTTGTTTGAAAATTAAATGTGAGGGTGGTTCAGCTAAGAAAGTCCTGAAGTATAAAGTTTTGGTTAAGAGGAGCGCAATTTGCCTGAGTTTCTCCATTCAAAGGTAGATTTCTACTAGAGCTTGTGGAACAATTATCTCTTATATAACAAATAAAATCATTGCTGAAATTAGCAGAAACATTGAGGTCTAGCCAAACCTTTTCAACGATCTTAGGGGTGGAAAGCTGGAGAGAGAGCATGACGTAGTTAAAGCTAAGCTGGTTTAAGGCAAAGCTTCTCTGCTATGCTCGTACTTTGCTTAATTAAGCTAATAACACAATAAGTTGTTGATGATTTTGATAGAGAGGTTTTGTATTTCCTGCTTGAAATGGCTTTCATAAACTCTTGTAAGCAAAAGTTGAGGACTGTGACATTGCTTGATTGTAGCATCAGCTTACCATTGAGGCATGCAATGACCTCATAGATTTCAATTGTAAACTTACAACATTTTATGGCAATGGTTCGTCCTTTTGAATAGTTTGCTTGGAAGGATAAGTGTAATAACCAAAACTAATAATAACAAATCGATACTTTTCAACTCATATTGAATGCGTATTTTGCTTGTGGAAGTTATGTTTAGATATTTTGATATTTAAGACCTTATTGCTTATGGAGTAGTCTGTTAAACATCTTCCTGTACAATTGCACATCTTCTGATGATTTGTATTCCTGTTTAGTTGTCTTACAGTTCTCTGCTTTGGGAACTTTGAAAGTTTGCTAACTGTGTTTTATTTAGGAGTGAATTAAGTGATACTATGTTCAATAAAAATTTCTGGGTCCACTTCATGTTTTTGTTTTTGTTTCTTCTTTTTGAAAAGCATTGCTTCTGTTACAGGAATTTTCCTTAAACTCTTGAATTATGATTTAACTTTTAGTTATTTGAAAATTGTTTTAACCTTGTCTTTTAAGAGTCTGTATTGACTGGACAGAAAGGATGGTTTCAGTAAATAAAATAATTTCTTGTTCATGTATCTAGGATGTTGACCAAATTATTGTTGTTTATGTTTTAGGAACACCGTACCAGGGAGGTATATTTTTTCTCGACATAATATTTCCAAGTGATTATCCATTTAAACCTCCAAAGGTATGCTTAATTATATTCCTGTCATTGAAGACTGCATAACCTTGTTTTCTCTTATTGATCTAAATATATCATGTATCTTTTTTGTAGTCTCCGTATTATCATATTGTGTCATGTGTATTTTCTTGTGGGACAGGGTGGTCTTGATGCCAGGGTAAGATAATATGTCATGCATCGTGTCACCAGCAATCTTATCTCTTCAAGTCAACTCTTGCTTACATTTGATGTTGTAGCTTAGGAATTTTGAAACCGATTTCCCCATTCAACTTGTTCTAATAATTACAGTGTCTAACTATCATGAACCATAAATGCCACCCTGAAGTTTCTGCTCCAGTTGGGTACCCGATATAGTGTCGATTTGTTGAACTTTGCAGTGTCCATCTAGCTATAACTAGGGATGTATACGAGCCGAGCCGAGCAGAGTATCTCGGTACTCGAGCTTGGCTTTTGATGAGCAGTAGCGAGCTCGAGCTTTAGCCGAGCTTAGTCAAGCTTCAATATTCGTGTTCGAGCTCGAGCTCGCAAGTCTGAAGTTGCACTCAAGCTTGAGCCTAATCGAGCTCAGTACTAAAATACTGTATTTTCTCTTTCTCCCCTCATTTTCTCTTTCTTCTTTTCACCTTTCACCTCATTTTGTCACCTCATCTTTTTTTTTTTTCTCTCTTTCTCCCCATCCTCTTCTCTTTCTGCCTTATTCTCTTCTCTTTTCTTACTTCTTCAGATCTTCTCCTTCGTCTTTTTTTTTTTTTCTTTCTCGCCATTCTCTTCTCTTTCTTCTTCTGCTCCTTCAGATTTTCTCCTTCATTATTTTTCTTTCACATTCTAAGCTTGAATGGAACCGAGGATGAATGAAGGTGAAAGAGAAGATGAATGAAGTTGGATTTTTGAAGCCGAAAGAAAAAATCTCAAATGGGTTTTGAGTTTCTGTTTGAGCTTTGAAATGAGTTTATCGTTTTTGTCTGTGAATGGGTCATAGGTGTTGTTTGTAATTTTGACAACTTAAAAATAAAATTTTTGAAATCTTGCAAATTGGCCCCCGAAGCCCGTTTAAGCTCACGAGCTTGACGAGCCGAGCTCAACTCGGATCGAACTCGGCTCCTTACTGTTCACGAGCTGCTCGAGCTCAAGCTCGACTTGACTGGTTTCGAGTCGAACTCGAGCTTACGACGAGCCGAGCTCGAGTAGCTCGCGAGCTACTCGGCTCGTGTCTCATCCCTAGCCATAACCAAAACAAATAGCATTGTTGGAAGGGGATTTGATATGCTTGCAAATATACATGTTTGAGAAAAGTGAGGCTTGTGTGCTGGCAATCTTGGGCTTCTTAAAAATGTACATTCCTACTTTTGATTACTCAAAATACATAAGCCAATCAACACGTGATACGAATCTGAAGTATTCTGCCATGGTGCACAATATAGCGTTCGGCAACTAGCATCCATGACCAGGCAGGTTAGGTTATTGCATGTATGGCCAAATGATTTGTAGATATAATGATGATTTTGGTCCAAGTCTGTGAACTTGTATAAATCTATTTTATCAGATATTGATTAGTGCATGATGTACTTTTACTTAACAAGTATAGATTTGCAGGTGGTGTTTAAAACTCGCATCTTCCACTGCAATGTTGATTCTGCTGGCAATGTTAGTTTGGACATCTTGAAGGATAGTTGGAGTCCAGCTTTAACAATTACAAAGGTGCTGCTTGCAATCAGGTCAATGTTCACAAATCCTGACCCTTGTAAGTTCTTTCACCAGTTTTTATTGACCAACCACACTTTTTCTGTCAAATGGCTGGGTTTCGGGGGCTGCCTGAGGGTGTGGATCACGGACTTGTTTTGTTAAGCGTGCTTTTGTTGTTATTGTTGTCACAACTGTTATTATTTGTTTGGTAGAAGAAGGGTGAAAATTCCCCACTGATTTTTAAAGGTATTTCATCATGCTCGCAAAGATGAAAACCTTGACAAATTCAAACTAAAAAAAAGAAAAAGAAAAAAAGATTAATGACATGAAAGAACGGGAAACATTACCCATCTTGTGAACGTGCCAAAACTTTTTGGAAATGTTGAAATTTAAAATTATCTGCAAGTGACTTGGTCTATTTTTTTGCTCAATGTGAATAATTTTGTCATGGCAGATAATCCAATTGTCCCTGGCATTGCTCACTTGTACTTGGCAGAAAGGGCTAAACATGATCAACTAGCTGCAGAGTGGACACATCGATTTGCCAAATAAAAGAATCGCATGATGAGTTTGGTGAGTATCGTATTATTGTCTTTTCTACTCGGTATTCAACTTTCTTGTAAATTCCTTAGCAGCCAGTCGAATATAATCATCTCAGATCATGCTCATCGCAAATTGTATAATAGTCATTGCGTAAACATCTGCAGACCTTTTATTCAATGTGAACTGTAAAGCCTCGGTGAAACTATCGAATGTTTGATATTTAACCAAGATGTATTAGCTTCATGCAATTTTCTTTTCACCTCATCCGGATGAATCTTGCAAGAGTTTACGAGCAACATCACTCATCAGTTATCAATTATTATGAGTTGATCGTTGAATGTTTATTGAGTAATTCTCTAGTCAAGATGGCTTGATATTTATAAAGTATCATTTCAATTCAATAAGTGAATTTTACGGTATTTAAGTATTGTTATGACAAAATTCATATTAGAACATTTTGATTAAAGAATTTATGTAAGTTCATTATTATTATGATATTTTTTCCATATCAAATGGTACCTTGGAATCCCACTGTTTAAAAATCGGCCCGGTTGGTTTAACTTGGACTCGGGAGCTTCATCGGGTTGGGTTAATATTTTCCTTATTCACCCAAAACCCTATAATTTGGGATGGATGATCGGCGAACAATTGAAGGTGGGACGTTGGGGCTTTGAGAGAGAAAGTGCTAGTGGATGCAATGCTGGCAAATGTTGATTTGGTGAGTGAATCGACCGGAAATCGAGAAAAAACTGGCAGTGACATTAGTCGACGATTGGCAAGGCTATAGGGGTGGGTTGAGGTGGGTTTTGGTTGGGAGGAAGAGGGGAGTATTTTCGGGGTGATGGGGAGGATTGTTGATGTTGATGTCGGTGAGATCTGGCTTGGAATGTTGACGTTAGCGTCGGTGAGATTTGGCTGAAATTGAATCAATTTCGGCCAAATCTTGGGTAGTTTTTTGGGGGAATGAGCTCAAGGGACGATTGAGATTGCATTTGAGGTGTCGTCGCTGCCAACTAGTCGTTGGTCAATTTGTATTTGGTGAGTGTTTGTTAAATTTCAAACTAATAGGGGCTTAACTGTAATTTTTAGAAGTGTATTTATTGAATTTAAAAAGTTTTATCACCTGATTTGACCGATCGGTCAAACTTGTTTAAACCGGTCAACTTTGTTGAGTTTCACCTTGGTTGGATATTAAAACATTGCGGAATCCTAAGATCGGTCAAACTTGTTTAAACCGGTCAACTTTGTTGAGTTTCACCTTGGTTGGATATTAAAACATTGCGGAATCCTAAGATAGAGAAATGTTACCAACTTGATATTGTTTAACAAGATGATAGGCCTAATGGCAATCAATTAGTCGATAACAAATTTTGGCAGATTCTAACAAAAGTTGGTAGAGCTTCCTCGTCGCATCATTGTAGCGTTTATGACTCGAAAATGTTGAACCGTTGAAAGAGTCAACTGCAGGTTTTGACAATAACACAATACCTGCAAACCTAACAATGACACCTAAAAAGTGATAAAATTATGATAGTCTTGCTGTCTTGGGGTGTCAGTTGATATGTTCTAAAATATATGGCGTTGAATAGCTTGAGGGCGTCAAATATTTTCCCCAAATTATTTTTGTTATACCCCGCCACTGCTTACTTTAAAGTTTAAACACTATCAAGAGTTAACAACATTTTCCCACCTGAAATATAACTTAATGACACTTTCCCACCTTTACACTTTTAAAATACTAGTTTATTACCCGAAACATAAATTTGTTAGTAATTAACGTTGTAAGAAAAGACAAGATGGTAAAAAAACAGTTATAAGTGAGGGCAGAATCGTGACAACAACTTAAGAGTTAATTTCATCTTTCAATTTTTAGTTAAAAACACTAAAAACCTTTGTTTCTTTCCTGTCAAGTGTCAACTCCTCCCTTCTCCTCCTCTCTCCTTTCTTTCTTCTTTTCTTATTCTTCTTCTTCTCCTTTTTCTTCTCTCCATGGTTGCTTGGCCCTCACGATGGGTTTGAGTCGCTACATAAAGGCCTCGTGGTTGCTAGATTTTGCCGCCACAAAGCCCTCAAGCTGCAGTTGTTAAGATCCACGAAACTGATAGCGGCGGCAAGTTCAAGAAGATATCCACGAATGCTGCCCGTGGTGTCAAAGGATTGTCATAGTGATTGTGATTCGTCTTCATCGGTGATTGACAATGATGGAGATATTGCGTTGTCTTCATGCAGGAAGTCGTTGCCATTTGATCTAAACTATCTACCATTGGATGATGTTGATTTCAACAGTGATGATCTGCAGTGCACCGCTTTATGTCTCTGTTGGTGGTGTTTGTTAATAGATTTTTGTTTTTGTTTTTGTTTTTGTTTTTCTCTATTATGTGGAAAAAAATAGAAAAAAAAAAAAGATTAAGATTAATTGGTCTTAATTTTATGAGTAAGATGATGATGATGATGACGACATTATGTCTTAAAGATTGGTGTGTGGTTTGTAGATGTTTGGATTTGCTTGATTAATGGAGGCTTTGTGAAGAATCTGAAAGATGGGAGGGATGGTGATAGATGGTTAATTGAGTCTATTGACTTGATATGTAATAATAAATAAAGTTTTAATTCAAACAGTTAAGGGTAGTTTTGTCTTTATACTGAATATTATGTTTTTAACCTAAACTATTAAAAGAACCTAATGTTTGGGTAGTAAAATAGTGTTTAAAAAGTTTTAGGGTCGGAAGCATCATTACACCATTAATCGGGTGGGCAAAGGCCATTTACTCCACTATCAATTATCAAAGTTATGCGGTAGAACTTCTACCTAAAAACAGATAAACCCATGCCCCCAAAATAAATTTCTAAAAATTTTTGGCATTGAAGACAAATCTTTTAATTTGTTCTCTTTAATGTAACAATAGAGAACTAAATCAAACATACATAACATCCAACTGTAAATATTTATCGTTCACACTTTGAGATAATTTTGAGCCAAAATCCAGTCACTCTCACTCACACTTTGAGATAAGAGTATCAACTATACATTCATATCAAACCGTAATTAGATTTATTGTTCATACTTTTTGAGGTTATTCTGTCTCGTGGCGATGGATAAGGGGGTAAAATGAATAAATTTAAAGTAGGGGAACTATGTGGAAAATTTACATATAATTTTACTTTTTTCTGTACAACAAATCGTAAGAGAAGGCAAAGTACATTTGTATTCCACGTGGATCAACTAACCAACGCGTTCCCCACCTACTACAACATCCAAGTATGCAACTACCGCCTTAACATATGTTTTGAGTTTTAACTTCAGCTGACGACTCAGAAAAACAAAAACTTGAGAGAGAGAGATGGGGATGAACATTAGTGAAGTTGGTGTGGAGGGCTTAGTGCAGGCTGGTTTGACGGTAAACGAGGCCAAGGAGTTTGATGAGATTCTGAAAGAAACACTGAGAAGAAGCAAAGGGTTGGGGCCAAGAGAGGTTTGGAGGGAGTTGGTGGCTCAGAAAGTGCTGAAGCCATGGCATCCACATGGGCTGCATCAACTTGTGTATTATAGTGTGTATAATGGTTGGGATGCCTCTTCCAATGGACCTCCTCTTTATTGGTTCCCTTCAATGTAAGGTTAATTTACTTGTTAAACTCTTTTGTTATAATCTTTGTTTGTGAAAGCTTTTGTTGTTTGACTTGTTTTGCAATTTGGAGTTAGTGTTGATCATGTNTTTGGCATTGAAGACAAATCTTTTAATTTGTTCTCTTTAATGTAACAATAGAGAACTAAATCAAACATACATAACATCCAACCGTAAATATTTATCGTTCACACTTTGAGATAATCTTGAGCCAAAATCCAGTCACTCTCACTCACACTTTGAGATAAGAGTATCAACTATACATTCATATCAAACCGTAATTAGATTTATTGTTCATACTTTTTGAGGTGATTCTGTCTCGTGGCGATGGATAAGGGGGTAAAATGAATAAATTTAAAGTAGGGGAACTATGTGGAAAATTTACATATAATTTTACTTTTTTCTGTACAACAAATCGTAAGAGAAGGCAAAGTACATTTGTATTCCACGTGGATCAACTAACCAACGCGTTCCCCACCTACTACAACATCCAAGTATGCAACTACCGCCTTAACATATGTTTTGAGTTTTAACTTCAGCTGACGACTCAGAAAAACAAAAACTTGAGAGAGAGAGATGGGGATGAACATTAGTGAAGTTGGTGTGGAGGGCTTAGTGCAGGCTGGTTTGACGGTAAACGAGGCCAAGGAGTTTGATGAGATTCTGAAAGAAACACTGAGAAGAAGCAAAGGGTTGGGGCCAAGAGAGGTTTGGAGGGAGTTGGTGGCTCAGAAAGTGCTGAAGCCATGGCATCCACATGGGCTGCATCAACTTGTGTATTATAGTGTGTATAATGGTTGGGATGCCTCTTCCAATGGACCTCCTCTTTATTGGTTCCCTTCAATGTAAGGTTAATTTACTTGTTAAACTCTTTTGTTATAATCTTTGTTTGTGAAAGCTTTTGTTGTTTGACTTGTTTTGCAATTTGGAGTTAGTGTTGATCATGTTACAGTTAGTTGTTTGTTGGTTTGACATGGGATTCAATAGCATTTTGCTTGAGTTAAAGTCTTAAAGTCACTTGTTTTGCTCAATATAGGTATGTAATTATGTTCTGGGTTTGTAGAAGAGTTATTGAGATCGAATCCTAATTATACCAAGGCGGCGAGGGGCTTGTTTTAGATTTTTAATTTTGAAAAAAAATGAAGGCATGTGGTTGATCTCTGCTGCTATAGTGTTGATTTTAGATTGAACAAACATGGGTTGTCAGGGAAGTAGATTATGTGTTTGTTGCAGATATGCACAGGAGTGTGGTTTGAATTGGATATTTTTGAAATTGATCATGCATTTTGGCTATGTTTATCTCAGTATGTTCACTACTGCATCAAAGTTTGTACCTCTTCTCCTAACTGATTAGAATGCTCTTCTGATGTCAGAAATCAATCAAAACTTACTAATTTAGGACATGTGATGGAAGCTTATGGTCCAAAACTTTTAGGCACATTGTACAAAGATCCTATAACAAGTTTTAGCCTCTTTCAGAAATTCACAGCTGAACACCCTGAGGTAAGTACTTTTATATTGATGCATTTATAGTTTCATCCAAATGTAAACTAAGTGCAATATTTTGTTTTCAAGTTGAAGAAACTGTTTTGTCATCTTACTTTTGCATCCGGTAATGGTTTTCAGGCTTATTGGGCTATAGTCCTAAAAGAGCTTTCGGTTCAATTTCATGAACCCCCAAAGTGCATTCTAG